ACAATGGAATACTATATAGCACTGAGAATGCACAAACTACCACTATGTGCAACAGTATGGATAAAAATTATAATGTTGAGTGAAGGAAGAAATAAAAGATATTGTATGACTCTATGGACCTTCAATGACAGACAAAACTAATCTATACTGATGGCTGTCCAAAGAGGGGTCACTCTTGGAAAGTGGGAGTCAAGATGGTAGCCTTACAGAAATGGCATTATTCCATGGCCAGGTCCAAATGGTGGTCATGTGGGTGTGTTCACTCTGAAAAATTAATCAAACTATACACTAATGCTAGGTATCTTAGATATACTTCAAATTATGAAGTTTACCAAAACAACCACAATAGCAAAAACCCTTTACCAGAGGATCTGTATGAATTCATTTGAGGCTTAGCATTCATTTTTGCAGGCTGTTTTGTGTCTTTGTAGTTCTGGGGCTGTCTGCCTTCATAGTTGCCATTGCTTCTGTCTGTTGACATGGGTCTGTCACTTTCTTTTATTCAGCACTTTGCTTTCAATCTAAACTTGATATATTCATCCTGATCCTTCATCGAGTTGTTCTGCCCTTGGAGCAAATTTCTCATTCTCAACTTCTGTTTCAACATTTCATGGCTGGGTGTGTTGGCTCACGGCTGGGCGTGGTGGCTCACGCCTGTAATCCCAACACTTTGGGAGGCCAAGGTGGGTGGATCATTTGAGGTCAGGAGTTTGAAACTAGCCTGGCCAACATGGTGAAACCCCGTCTCTACTAAAAATACAAAAAAATTAGCTGGGTGTGGTGGTGGGTACCTATAATCCCAGCTACTCAGGAGGCTGAGGCAAGAGAATCACTTGAGTTCAGGAGGCAGAGGTTGCAAGTGAGCAGAGATCGCGCCATTGCACTCCAGCCTGGGTGACAGAGAGAGACTCCCTCTCAAACAAACAAACAAAAACAGTAATAACAACCACCACCAAAATCACATTTCACTAATAATGTCCCATGTCAGGTAGTTCTACTTCTTCTGTATATTTTGTTAATGGCCTTGGTTTAATTTTATTGCTTAAATGTTCACTCTTTCCTTGTTTAATTTTTTTCTGTTTTGGCCTAATGATTTTTATGTTCTTTTTATCAATAATTTCATAATTACTATTACATTATCTGCTTGGCAATCTTTTTTTTCCTTCCCAATATCACGACTTTTAAACAGAGCTTTCTCCTCTACTTTTCTGTCTAATGGGGTAGGAGTATGGGGTGTGGAATAGGAACTCTCTTATTCTTCACCCTTTACATCCAGCAGAAAGAGCCAGGTGATCCGACATGCAATAGGAAAGGGGGAAAACGAAGATTCACAAATGATAACTAACACAAGTGCTTCCCAGTTGCCCAAAGTGGTTTAACAGATTACTTTTCTTATAGATTTAGCTAAGAGGCCGTCTGACCTGAGTCCTTTTATGGAACTGTTCAGACTCGCTTTCATTTTTTCTTTTTAGAAATAAATCCTCTCGTCCTCAATCAGAGACACTGAAGAAAGCAGGGAGTTTGTATTTTTTAAATCCATATGAAGGTTTTGGCCAGGAATTTTTCAAACACTAGAATAAATTTTTAATTTGGACTTTGATATCCAGACAAGCCCAGCTCAAGTTCTCTTGGGTCTCCTTCCCAAAGACCAGACTTCAAACAGACACTGCTCGCTGTCTTAGCAGAAAGGCACCACAGCAGCTGCGACGGCTGCAGTCAGCAGAAAATGCTGCACATCCTGCCTGTCTGGGCAGGACCTCCGTTTGCTACACTGCACTGGAAACCAACACATCCTATTTCGTGGTCCTGAAGCAGAAGTCCTCAGAAAAGAAGGAAAGAACATGGAGACCATCGGGGCAGGAAATGCTGGGTTCCCTGCTGAGAGCATTCTCCATAACATGGGATTAAAATACCGAAGGGAAAAAGACAAACACTATTTTATTCCACATTATGATTTGCTTCGTATGCTTTTCATTTTTGTCTTTGGTGTTTGGATTGTAGAAGAAATAGATGACTTTCTTACAGATGAGACCCCAGAGAACCTGGAGTTTAACTCTTAGTTTAACTTCCTGAAACTTGACTGACAAAACAGAGACTGGGAAAGATAAAAAAAAAAAAAAAAAAAAAGAAGTAACTGACTTTCTGTGACAACTATAAAAGCAGTTCATTTCCTTTTGGAGACTTAGATGGGAGACTCTAAGTAATTGAAACTTAATACGCAGAGTCCCCCAGAAAAGTGACCACCCTGGGGCTGTTAGCATCATTTCCTGTTAATTGTCACCTGAAATAACCAGTTGTGGAAATGGCACGGGGGCCTGAAGCAAAGGAATGTAGTCTAGCCCGCTCGTGGTCCATAATGAAATACAAATGATTTAACAGCGGTACTGACAAGGTTCTCAGAATAAATCATTTCCATTCTCACCACTTCAGATCACTTACTGTAATTGCCCTGAGACAGAATGGGGGAGTTGGCCGTTGGTTACCTAAGCTCTGCGACAATTCCCCCCATTTACCCATGAGGACAAAATGCAGCTCTGACCTAATTTACTTCTCTTCCCTAAGGCTGAAGGGCAAGTACTCTCTGTATCCCAGGGAAATCTAGAAGTTAAAGGTGGCCAGAATAATTGCAAAGTTTTTCTGAGAATCCTGTACCTGTGTGTTGACTCCGAAGTGGCCTCTTGCAGGCCCGAGTGCTCAAATGAGCGGCTGTGGCTGGGCTTGCCTGGGTTTTCTACCAAATCACATGCCTGGACAGATCTGTAGTTTGAATGTTTGTGTTCCTGCAAAATGCATGTTGAAAATTAATTCCCAATCCAATAGCATAAGAGGTGGGGCCTTTTGCAGGTGATTAGCCCTCATGAATGGAATTAGTGTCCTTATAAAAAGGGCTTGAGGAAACAAGTTCACCCCACCCACCTCTGCTCTCCCTTCTGCCATGTGAGGACTCAGCACAAGGGGCCATCTCTGAAGCAGAGGCAAGGCCTTGCCAGACACCAAACCTGCTGGCACCTTGATCTTGGACTTCCCTGCCTCTAGAGCTATAAGAGACACATTACGATTATCTAAAAGTGACCTAGTCTGAGGTATTTTGTTGTAGCAGCACAAATGGACTCAGATAAGAGCCAATCATACTCTCCTGTGTACTTCTTCCATTTTCTCCCAGTCTTTCATCCCGCTGCAATGAGTAAGGTTTGGAACCTCTCTTACTTTTTTGGAGAGGCCAAGTTCCTCTGTACTCTTGATCAATAGGGAGTTATGAGTCTCTGTGAACTATGCTTCCCATTTGAGTTAGTCATCCTGTTCTCTTGGCCTCCTCTGCACTTTGGCCATGCCTGTGTATTGGTTTGTCTACCTCCTTTGGGCTGAGAACATCTGGGAATGAGGAACCTGATGTGTCTCATCATTGTATCTCCACCATCTGCCAGAGCACACAGGGAACAAGTATCTGAGGAAAGCAAGGGAGGGGAAGGATGACAGGAAGAAGTCTTGGCCTACTGGCCCAGTTCCCTGGATGTGGTTGCAAATTGATAAGATGCACAGAAACAGAACTTCCAGGGAAGCTTCCTGGAAAATCTTACTCTCAGATGGAAACTCTGATATGAATGCCAGCACAGTATTCATAGGATCAGGATGACTGGGCAGCCATCTCCCCCAAGACCTGCCAAGACCATGTCATTTCCTTATCTGATGCTGACAGTCTTAGCTCTGGTCCTTGATACCCAACACAAGGTGGCCATCCTGGACAAAGCCTGTGTCTAGGCTCCTGCTGGCCCACTCACCATCATTCCAGTATGGCCAAGTAATCATTCCCAAAGGACAGATCCTGCCACTGTCCTATTCCAGAATCAGATGCTCATTCCCAGGCCCCGCCTGGCCTTTGAGGCTCTCCAACAGGGCCCGTGGCACCACGTAACCCTCCAGACTCCCCAAGGATGCTCAGGCCAATCCTGTCATCCCCAGTGTGCTTAGTCCTAGCTCAGACCTTTCAATGCTTCTGTGCCAATAGGTATTCATCTGTTATTTCAAGAAACCTTTCTGAGGGACCACATCCAGCTCATCTTTCTCACACTTTGTATGTTCTCCTTGCTCGGGTGCCCCGTCTGGACCACGTTCTGCCCATCCTCCTCCTCCCTATGCATTCCTTCTGTCAATGCATATTTCGAGAACCTTACCACATGCTAGGCCCATACTTTGTGGGAGGTGGAGCTGAGATTCAAATCCAGATCTAAACAACTAAAGAGCCTGGCTCTCCATCACAACACTCCACGGCACCACCCGCCCCTGAGTTCTCTTTGACATAGACTTAGCTTCTTTTCTCAGTGAAAAGAGACATCACTTTGACCGGAAAAGCAAGAGTCCCACCAGTTGGGCTGTAGCCCCCAGGATCCATCTCTTCAATAGTTTCCATTCACCACTTGTGGAAATAACATCACTGTGTAGGCCTGGGAGACACCTTTCTTGGAGTGCCAGACAGCAGAAGGGCTTCAAAAAGGGAACTGAGATTGGGATAGAAAGAGGAAAGCACTCCTCCCTCTCGTCCAGTGCTCCCTCACACACTAAGTGGAGACCCTTCCTTTGGGAAGAAAGGAAGCAAGTAAAGGAGATGGAGGCAGTGGTGAGGAGGGGACTCTGCCAGCCAGAATGATGCATCACCATCCAGAGCCATGGCACAGTGGCTGGACCGAGAAAAGGATACGGATTTGTACATAGGGGCTGGTACCCTCCTTCCCTTCGTAGCTGGCTGGGCCTGTGGAGAAGGAATCTCTGGACGTGGGCCTGAGGTTTTGAGTTCACTCATAGTGGGTGACAAAAATGAGATGGTTATTTGTTTTATGGTAATGATCTCCATGAGGCTCCAAACTCTGGGGCTGCAGTCGGCACGCCACACGGCAGGCCTTCCTTGGGGTGTGAAAGGATTTCCTTGGTTTGGTGGGATTCGTTTGTTTTTTAAACGGGGCTGTTTATTTTATCTTCTTTTAATGTGATGATTTTTTTTTCAGACTCACAAGGAAGATACATAATGTACAGCCGAATCTACAGTCTCCTATTTTGTCAGCTGCTTGTGTTGATTAAAACTTCAATAAAGATCCTGTGATAAAACAGAGCTATGTTCAAAGGATCTTGTTATGTTTTTAAAGGGCTGAGCTTGGCAGAAAACATGTAGAGTATAGCTTTGCTACCTTAGTATTTTCCCCCTTTTCCAGGTGAGAGAGGGAGAAGTGGAGGAGACACATACAGTGGTTTCTAGTACCTGTGGGATCGTCAGACAGCACGTGTTTAACCAAGTCCCAAATAATAAGCAGGGTCCAACTTAAATGCATGAAAATTGTTTATCAAACTGGTGTTAAATGTGTGACCAAGAGCAGACCTCCTCCCATAGGTCTGACTGACAGCCTCTCTCTGCAAGAGGTCCCAGCCTAACAGGGAAGGGGAGGAGGCAAGCCAGGGGCAAAGTGAGGACACAGAGCTCCAGGAATTCCATACCCGGTGATTCACCCAACTCGCCCAAGCTGATCCATTCCAGCAAGATTCCAATAAACTGCCAGTAACACATTGTTTTAAAGCCCAGAAATCGCTGAAGGCTCTCAAGGGAGAGGTGTCAGTGGTGCCATCTACTCCCCAACCCCTTTTCCCCCCTCCCTCCAGACAGCCCATTCCTGGCAGCCACTGAAGTCTCGCAACTCTTATTCTGAAAGAAGCTGAGAAATGGATGTACGTGAACATCAGGCTTGCCAAAGTCGCTGACTTTATGCAAAGCAGGCAAGTGCAGTCAAAACACTTACAGCAATCAATTCGAGTTGTTGGGTAAAGTTTTTTCCGTGCCCCATACATTATTGAACAGTTAATTTCGTCTTTGTGCCTGCAAGACATTCCAGCTCTCAGATGACAGCTTTATCCATTAAGGAGTGCCTGGTGACAGCCGTGCAGCAAGAGCTTTGCCAGCCTGGCCTGCCGGGAGGCGCGCCTGCATCACCACCGAGAAATCCTGGGACACATCAACATCTTAATCAATATGCGAGAGTCAATTACCGGGGAAGCGAGGGCTTAAGCAGGAGCTGATGATGAGGTTCCCGTGCAAATGGACTTGATCAATACGCAGCCGAATCTCACACGTGGATTCACATCAGCCCTCCCACGGCACCCAGTCCCCAACTGGCAGGCCAATCACACCGCTCCTAGCCGCCAATCATCTGCTTTACTAGACTCATTACTGCTCTTCTTTGATTCATTCCTTTGATAGAAGTATTGGGAACAGAGAAGCAGAGTTGAGGGAAACAACCAAAACATGCTGCCTGGACTCATGGAGAGTTCTGCACAGAGCCTGGATGGACTAGCTCAAAGACCAAGAGACAGCGTTTCTGCAAAGATGTGTTCTCTCCACATTCTTGTTTTTTTGTTTTGTTTTGTGTTAAACAACAACAACAAAAAGACACTCGTTAAAGGAAAAACCAATTCAGCTTCTGCGGGAACAGTACTTCTTTTTCACTGATGAGAAAGCTGAAACTTAGAAAGGCCAAGAGCATAGGGTTGCACAGAGTGGATTCACAGCAGGGACTAGAAACAAGGTCTTTAGATTCCAATAGCTACCTAATCTAATTGAATCATATAGCTAAGGGTTAGGGGACTGAAAAATGCAAGAGACACATGAACTAATAAAGCGAAAGGGAAACAGTGTTTTCTTGGTGGTAGTAGGAATTTCCAGTTGGACCTTGGAGAGTGGAGAACGACTTGACAAGGGTTGGGGGGAAAGGCAGTATTCTCTGTGGGAGGGGGGCTTGTGTGTCTGATGAGCAGCATAGAGCCACGTTAATAGGAAATGGCTACACTACTGTGGAAGGGGATGCACTAACAGGAGGTTAGGTGGATGGGCAGGGCAGGGCAACAATATTCAAGTCAAGTTAGTCATTGTGTTTGGAACACCAAGGCCAGGATAACAAACTTGGACTTTATCCTCTAAGGCAGTCTTTCTTAAACTAGTATGCTATGGAACACCCACCCTCTAAGATGCTTCACAAAAGAGGGCAGCAACATGAAGGACACTTGGAAGATGCTGTGTACAAAGTCATCGCCTCAAAAAAGTCATACTACATTCTAGCACATTGTCACACTCTGAGAAGACCTAGAACAAAGACATGGCTTTAGCTTTCCTTAATCCAGTATACACCCACAAACAGCATTTGGATCTTCTTCAAAGAAACCTCCCTGACCAGCCAGCTAGGTGAGATTGGCTCACCTTTCAGGGGCTCCCAAAAGCATTCTGCATTTTTCTTAGAAACATTCATCACCTGTGCAATTTTTGATTCAACGTCTACTTTTTTATTACCATGAAACTCCATTCATTTGTTTCATTGACTTCCTGGCACAGAGCAGATTCTCACTCCTCCAAAGAGGGGATGTATGTGGAATACTCCAGAAACATAGTTTGGGCAAGGCTGCTCTCCTGGGAACCACTGGAGGTTGCTTCTTGCTCAATATGGTAAACATGGCACACCTTAACAAGATGAGCTGTTGATGTTGTTTCTGATGGAAAAAGGTTGAAGCCAGGGAAATCATGGTGCTGGAGAAATCAGTCCAGGAGAAAGGTGGTGAGGGACAAGCTGAACTGGGAATAGACCAATGTTTATGGCTTCAAGAGATATTTCTTGGGAAGAACTCATGGGGCTCTGCCTGATTGCCACAAAGTGTGGAGAGGTTGTGAGGGTAGGCTCTGAGGAGGGACAGACCCAGATCAGAATTGAGACCCACCTCTTGTAGCATCACAGGCAGTGAGGTGACCTTGGGCCAGTCCCTTCCCATCTATGAGCTTGTTCCTCATCTGTAAAATGACAATGGCATATGGAAGAATCTAACTAAAATTAGCTATGATTATTAATACATGGCAACCATTGTTAATATTACGAAAGACAGGAGAGTGAGAATGGTTTTGGTATTTCAGATGTGTGTACTCAGAAAATTGGGACATTGGCTCAAATTTGAAACTCTGGGAGGAAAAGGGTTTGTTTCAGGGCATATTGAGTTTGAAGTGAGGCAAGCATGTTTAAATGTCCCACAAGCAGCTAAGCACATAGGACTGAGACCCTAAGGAGGGGTCAGCATGGGGCATGGCTGAAATTGAGAGAATAGATGAGCAACTCTATAAAGGGAACAGAAAGAAAGGGCAGAGAGCAAGAGGCTGCCTTGGGCAGCTGCCTTATTTTGGGAGCAGGAGAACGAAAAAGAAAAGTCGACCTTGTTGCTGTTACCAGAAGATGCTGTGGTTCTCAGGTTGCCTTAGACAGCTGAGTAGCATCTCATCAGCCTGAGCTAAGGAAAGGCTGCTGTGTGGGCTAAAGCTTAAGTGGTACTCACAGAATATGTGGAAAGTTCCCGTGGCAACTTCTTATTGAAAATCCTCACCCCAGTTATTTTCCATTCCTGCTGAGACATCTCTGTGTCCCTCAGGTTATGGTATAAATATTTTATGAAACACAGAGGGTTGAGATATCTTAACACTTTAACTGAAAACTCATTTTTCTGAAAGTTAAAGGATGCATTTTCCACTTACAAAAATATGAAACTCTAGATTGGACAAAGAAATGGACATATCACATTGCAATATTTTATACAGTGTTTCTCAGGGCCTCAAAGTACTGAAGATGTTAATTCCATTCCTTTCTCCATGAGGCTTGTAAGTTTCATTATGCAAGTTTAAAGTTGGGTAAGGAGTAAGCACAGAGCCCAAAGGCTAGTAGGTGTTCAATTAATGTGTGTCCTCTTCCCTTCTTATGTGATAAAGGTTGAAATGCGGTCTGTAGACTCAGGGAGGTGAATAATCTGAGATACTTCCAGGCTACACTTAATGCCATTAGCAGGGGTTAGAGGAGAGGAAAGAGAAGAAACTTAATTAGGAGAATAGACCAGGCGCGGTGGCTCATGCCTGTAATCCCAGCACTTTGGGAGGCCGAGGCGGGTGGATCACGAGGTCAGGAGATTGAGACCATCCTGGCTAACACAGTGAAACCCCGTCTCTACTAAAAATACAAAAATTACCCAGGCATAGTGGTAGGCGCCTGCAGTCCCAGCTACTCAGGAGGCTGAGGCAGGAGAATCACTTGAACCCAGGAGGTGGAGGTTGCAGTGAGGCGAAATCGTGCCACTGCACTCCAGCCTGGGCGACAGAGCCAGACTCCATCTCAAAAAAAAAAAAAAAAGAGAGGAATAGAAAAGATATTCTGATTCTGAAAGGCAACTAGAGAACACTTTATGATGAAGTGGAACTGCAGGACCCCCGAATAGAGAAAATGATCCATAGTTTGTGAATGAGTGTAGACCTTAACACTGAAAAGTGGTCCTTTTGCTAACTGCCCAGAAAGAGTCACACAGCCTCTGCCAATCCAAGTTCTGGCAAAATCATCTTAGCTTCAACTCTCTCTGTGGATCACAACCACCCTATGAAGAACAAGAACATGTGAAGGGACCAAGGAGTGAATGTCACTAGGCTACATCGATCCTGTGCCCGCTCACAATCTCCACCGAGGTTTGAGTGTCTAGAATCCTGTTCCTACTTTATTGTACCTGTGGCTTCAGGAATTAAGCAGCTGGGGGGAAGCATGGTTTTTGATACCACAGAGCATCCTGCTAACTCAAAGTCTGTGTCCTAGGCTTTTTTATCAGAAGTGGGGGGGTAACACGTGAGAAAAAAAAAAATTGGCCCCATAAAGGGATCCGGAAAGAATGACATATTTGTCTGTTAAGTATAAATATGAACAGCCATGGAGATATGGTCCTATGATGCTAGGTTTTCACTCCAGCAACATTCATCTATTGCCAGGAAATGCTAGATTTAGTACCTGAGGGACTGGAGTTTCAAATACCTTATACTTTTTTTTTTTTTAATACTGTGCCAAGAATTTAAATTGGTAAAAGCTGGGGACTGACAAAACTTGATCCCCAAGAGCTTTTCTGGCACTGGTTTATCAGAGAATACGGTGCCATTATTTTTATTATAATTATTATTTTTTTCTTTGGTGGGGCGAGAGCTCATTTATAACCCAAAGACTTCTACTCCCAGATGTATTGTTCTTTTTTTTTCTTTTTTAAATCCCAATGCTTAAATAAA